GGGGACGTTTAATTTAGAAGAATCAATCAAAATAAAGTCTCTACAGTGAACATGGTACTTTGGACTCATTCCAGTAAATCAGAAATAGCACTCTGAATTTTTCTCATTTTCCAAAGCATAATTTTTTAATTAGGACAAAGGCATGCATGGGAAGTTTTAGCCAGAAAATAATCAGAGTAAAGGGACATCTGTGACCACTTGGATGGTGGTGAGGCCGGAGGGCGCCTCATGTGCCCGTAGGGGGACCAAGGCAGTGCCAGCATTGCTGAGAAGCAGAGGGGCCCGACCGCCACGTGCCCTGCAGGACATAATTAGGTCTTTGTGAGACCCTGACCCAGCTTCTGTCTTCCACTTGACACAAATCCCATGTTTTCTGCATAAAGCACTTAATGCCTTCGTTTTGTTGCTAAGTGCCAGGGTATTGACAGTGCAGTTAGTTATGGACAGATCACCTTGGAGACGCCCTATTTTTTACCCATGTGTCCCCACAACTAGACGCAGGTTCCTGTGCATCTCTCCTGAGCTGTGGTTCAGCAAACTCCAACCTCTGGAGCCTGGGGTGCCCTCTGTGCCCTCAGACACTGACTCAGCCCTCGGGTGTTCCAGAGGACCCAATGCCCTGGGAAGAGAAGAGGTAATGTGGGGCTGGTGATAAAATGAACAAAGTTAGAAAAGATAGAATAGATAACAATGTGCCTCTCCTCAAATTCAGTATCTCCGAGACACAATTAGAATATAAAAATAGCTCAAAACACAATCGCCAGCTTGCGATTTTAACTTGGTATGATGATCTCCCCATGAGGGTTTTACTTAGAACTTTGAAACTTACTGTGATCCATTACTGGTTTGCACTTTCATTAGGAAGTATTTTATTTTATTTTTTTAAAGATTTTTTTATTGGGGAATTGGGGAAGGGGAACAGTGTTGGGGAATTGGGGAAGGGGAACAGACAAGTTGTTGTCCTTCAATCTTAGTTGTGGAGAGCACAGGTAGCTCAGCTCCAAGTCCAGTCACCATCTGGCCGCCCTTCGGCAGCTCGTGGCTGCTCAGCTCAAGGTGCTGTGTTCAATCTTAGTTGTAGGTGGACATAGCCCACCATCCCATGTGGGAGTCCAACTGGCAACCTTGTTGCTAGGAGCACGTGCTCTCACCAACTGAGCCATCCTGCCACCTGTTGGCAGCTCAGCGGCAGCTCAGCTCGGGCGCAGCTCACTGGCCCATGTGGAAATTGAACTGGCGACCCTGTTGCTCAGAGCTCACGCTCTTAACCAACTGAGCCACTCGGCAAGCCCCAGGAAGTATTTTATATATCCAGAAAAGAACTGAATGTAACATACCCATATTTCCAGATTTCACATATTAGTATTTTCCCATTTTTGCTTCAGATATTTTTAAAACGTTAAGAAATATTCCTGACATACAAAAAAGTTTGTTATAAGGATATAAGAATATCTTTGCTATAACTCCAAGTCACAAGAACATGTACTAAAAGTTTTGGGTTTTTTAAAGATTTTATTGGGGAATTGGGGGAGGGGAACAGACAAGTTGCTGTCCTTTTGTTCTTCAGTCTAGTTGTGGAGGATATCGCTTCACTGGCCCATGTTGGTGTTATCATTGCACTCTTCCTAGGTGAGGCAGTCGCTCTCCAGCCATTGGACGGCCGCTCACGGCGGCTCACGACAGCTCACAAAAGCTCACGCCTGCTGCTGGCTAGCCCCACTGCAGCCTATGCTGTCCTGGTGACTCAACGGAAGCCCAGCTCCAGGTGGAGCTGTTCTTCACCATCTTAGCTGTAGAGGGTGCAGTGTCACTGGCCCTCATGTGGGATCCGAACCAGGGCTCCGCTGCTCAGAGCTGGCGTCCCAAGCCAACTCCTAACCAACACACCACTCGGCTGGCCCTGTACTAAAAGTTTTAATGTTTGCCATTTTATAATTGACTCTTAAGTCCATCACCAGTTGACTTTTGTTCATGTGAGGTAAGGATCCAATTTAAATTTTTTCCAAAGAAGTGATTATTTGAGCACCAGCATTTTTTCTCCAGTGCTTCATATGGTCTTGCCAGTTCCACACAGTCCTTTCTAAGCTCTCTCTTCTGTTGCATTCTTCTATTTGTTAGCCTTGAGCCAAAACCATACTATCTTAATTATACTTTATTAAGCAACGGTTCACAACTGGGGGCAGTCTTGTCCCAAAGAGGACATTTGACCATGTCTAGAGGCAGTCTGGCTTGTTGTGACTGGGGTAGGGATAAGCTGCTGGCATCTAGTGGGTCGAGGCCAGGGAGGCTGCTAAGCATTCTCCAGTGCACAGGGGGCCTGCACACAACAGAGAACTACGTGCTCCCGTGTCAGTGGTGCCGAGCTTGGGANGATCAGGATGTCAGCCGGCTGCATTCCTTTCTGGAAAAGAATCCACTTCCGGGTTCATTTCCCCCCATCCAGTTCCCTGCCTGCGGTTATAGGACTAAAGTCTCTGTTTTCTTACTTTCTCGGCTTCACCTTGAAGGATCACTGCTCATTTTAATTATAAAGTTCTTTCACATTTTTCATTTAAGTTTCACATCAATTCTGAGTTAATATTTCTCTCCCAAATTTCCACGAGTAATGAGAGGCTCAGAAAGTTGAACTGACTTATAGGTTGCACGGTTAATAAACAGCAAAGCCAAGACCAGACTCTTTGAATAGACCACAGTGGCTGCATTCTTACTCTTTAGCAAACATTGACTGAGAGTCCTTAGGGCTCTGAGCTGGGTGATAAGGCATTAAAATGAATAACATGGTAACAATGCTCTGGGAAGTCTAGGTCTTTACCTGTTGTACTGTAACACATGAGTCAGCTACAAAAGTTTGATCACACTGCTAGGGAAACCTTAGGATGGAGCAGCAAATTCTGCTTGAGTTGAAGGGTTAACTTAGAAGTCAGTCTTAAAAGATGAACAGGGGCGGCTGGTTGGCTCAGGTGGTTAGAGCGCAGGTTCATGGCATCAGGGTTGCCGGTTCAATTCCCGCGTGGGCCGGTGGGCTGCACCCTCTCCACAGCTAAATTGAGAGCGGCGACTTGACTTGGAGCTGGTGGGTCCTGGAAGAACACACTGTTCCCCAATAAAGTTTAAAAAAAAAAAAGATGAACAGATGTTGCATAAAGAGTGGGAGGTGTGGGTGGGAAAGGTACTCCGGCAGAGGGAACAGCAGGAGCAAAGGCATGGGACTGCCAGGGTGCCTGGCATGGCCAGAAGAAACGCAGCCAACCGGAGAGGAGGCTGGTTGTATCGCAGTCAGGGCACCAGCCAGAGTGTGACAAGCAGACATGACACTGTCAGCTTGGAGGGTAGATATGAGTGTTTATACCCATTTCCTATCTCAGCTCCTTTTCAACCCCTGACCCAATTATTCTGTTTCCTTAGCTGAACTAGATGCAGAGCACACCCAGAAGGTTCTGGAAATGGAGCACACCCAGCAAATGAAGCTGAAGGAACGGCAGAAGTTTTTCGAGGAAGCCTTCCAGCAGGACATGGAGCAGTACCTCTCCACAGGCTACCTGCAGATAGCAGAGAGGCGAGGCAAGTGGGGGTGCGGGCTGCTGGCAGCAGGGGCTCCCTGATGTGCGGG